GATGGACATTCAGTCCTCTTCACTGGGTTTGCCTCAGTGGACACAGTCTCCCAGGACAGGGAGGAGTCACTCCTTGCAAGCTCAGTGGGGGCGCTTGAGGGACAAGGTCCTTCCAATGGGATAGTACATAGGATTTCAGATCAGTGATGGTCATTTCATGGATTCGTTCAGCCACTTTGCAGTTCATAAAGTTTTTTTTTCCCGTTCGTTGCAATAAACCATTTTGTTGTTACTCTCTGAGCAAGGGCATGAGAGAGGGCTTTTTTGTTTGTTTTGCTTTGTTTTTGTGTTTCGCCTTTTTTTAAGTGAGAAAAATGGGACTGAGATGCAGGGTTGAAATTAATCATTGCTGAGTGTTTTGTCTTAAATCCTCAGAACACAGAGTTTGGAGCCACCAATGTCTACATGTAAGTCTTTTTTTTAAAATTTTATTTAAAGAAAGACTAAACAAAACAGAAAATAGGTAGAAATAATACATGCATTCAGAGAAAAAATAAACAGTAAGGAATCACTGGTTGATGCTTACATATTGTCATTTTACAAATAGTTATTTAAGATACAAAAATGGAACATGTAAAGTGAGAATTCAAACAGCGAGACTGCAAACAGTTCTGTTCAACTGTCCAATAAAAACTTAGAAATATGGTTATCAATCCTATACACTTAAACATACATGCAGTTATCCATATCTTCAATTGTGTTGAGATAGAAAAAACCCAAGCAGGCTAATATCACTCTGAACAGAGAATAATACTATTGCTGGGTTTCACATTATGACACACCAGAATCAGCACTGGGTTCTTTAGTGACTCTTTTTCCTCAAAGTATCTGTTCATTTCATCATGTGTCATAAGATCAGCTCTCATAAACTGTTTATAGATTCTACACATGCATGAGTCTTAACATGTATTTCTGTTCTTTCTATATTAGAGGTAGAAATGAAACAAAGCAAGACAGAACAAAATATATTCCTATAAACACATGAAACAAAAAAGACATATAAGACCATTGTGCAAGGACTTCTACCATAGTTCCTGTGTTGTCTCTTGTTATCTTCAATAGAACTGGCTATATCATCAGACATAGTATAACTGAATATATCAGTATATAACAGTATTAATAAAAACACAACTTTGTATATAGCATAGAACTTCAAAAACTGGCAGATATCAAACCAGAATGTATATAATAGGGTCTTGTCTTCTTCAGTGTAGTTGCCTATAATCCCAAATTGATACTATCAATCATATTAGTTTTTTTTAATTTATAGAATCTGAAAATGATTTTATAAGTTCATATAAATTGCACAGAATAGTGGATTACGTTTTGGTGTACTGCAACTTACTTATAATTTACATGGATTTTTTTTTTTTTTTCGGAGGTATTGGCTTGGCTTCCCAGAGTCCTAAGTTCCAACATGGCGTGGATCTCAGGAGACACTGTTAGTTCTCCCCCTGGAAGGGCTGCAGGCTGCCACCCTGCCTCCGCTTGCAGGGAGGGGAGATGCTGGCTTGGCTTCCCAGAGTCCTAAGCTCCAACATGGCGTGGATCTCAGGAGACACTGCTAGTTCTCCCCCTGGAAGGGCTGCAGTGGACCACACTACCACCACTTACCAGGGAGGGGAGGTGCTGGCTTGGCTTCCCAGAGTCCTAAGCTCCAACATGGCATGGATCTCAGGAGACACTGCAAGTTCTCCCCCTGGAAGGGCTGCAGGCTGCCACCCTGCCTCCGCTTACAGGGAGGGGAGATGCTGGCTTGGCTTCCCAGAGTCCTAAGCTCCAACATGGCATGGATCTCAGGAGACACTGCTAGTTCTCCCCCTGGAAGGGCTGCAGTCTACATGTAAGTCTTATCTGCCCATTTACTGACCAAGTGGTCTGGGAAAGTTATATTTTTGTTATAGTTTCTTTTTAAAAAAAAATAAGTATTTTTCCAAGTAATGTTATGTTTGTTATTTGCTTTTGTTGCTGTTATCAAATACCTGAGAAAATCAACTTAGAAGAAGAAAAATTTATTTAGGCTCAAAAATTTATTTCAGCTCAAAAGGTTTGTTTCAGAGATTTCAGCGTGGCCAGTTCGTTTGATTGCTGTAGGTCTGGGGCGAGGCAGAACGTCACCATGGAAGGGGTGACAAACCAAATCTGTCACCTCCTGGCAGACAGGAAGCAGAGAGAGACGGGGCAGACCAGAGGAAGGGGCAGGAGGCAGGCACAGGTCCCCGATTCATGGCTCTGTGACCCCTCCCTTCAGCCACTCTTGTTTCCATCACCTCTTAATAACACCACCAAATTATGATCTCCTCTGCGGATAAAGAGTGGTCATGAGGCAGTGACTTCCTAAAAGCCCATTGGCAGGCAACTGAGCAGTCAGTGCAATACATTTATTAGAGCACATTTTAAATAGCAACCAAAACACATTTGTGGACAACTGGTCCTAAAGTCCAGCACTCCGACACGTGCCTTCTCTTAGCACTGCTTCTAGTTTAACATCTTCTTCAGTCTGTTGTACTTATTATAGTTGATGAACCAATACTGATACAAATCTACTAATGAAAGTTCACGGTTTTCATTAAGATTCACAATTTTCCTTGTGTGTGCTGTGAGTTTTGAAAATACGTAATGCCATGTATCCGTGATCCGTGTCACAGGACAGTTTCACTGCGCTGTGGGGACGCAGAGGGACGCAGAAGCCCTCTGTTCCACCTTGGATCCCGTCCCCTTCCTGCAAGCCCACGGCAACCACCGATCTTTTTCTACCTCCACAGCTTTGTTTTCCCGGAATGTCCTATAGCTGGAATCGCATAGTATGTGACCTTTTCAGACGGGCTTCTTTCCCTAAGCAATATGTACTTAAGACTTCTAGCTTGATAACATATTTATTTCCTTTCTTTCCCTCCCTCACTCCCTCTCTCCCTTCTTTCTCTCTCTCTCTCTTTTTTTCTTTCTTCTTCATAATTCTCCTGCCTTGCTTTCTTATTGGTGCTATCATAAGGATCAAATAAGAAATTTAGGGAAATGCTTTGTAATGGAAACCAAGTAAAAGTATTGTTTTATAAATGCCATTTCAGGGCTAGAGATTTAGCTCAGCTGCATAAGCACCTGCCTGGCAAGCATGAGGTCATGAGTTCGATCCCAGTATAATAATAATAATAATAATAATAATAATAATAATAATTCCCATTTGATGCACCTAATAGTCTTAGACAATTGTTTAACATCTCAAGTCTCAGTTTTCTCACTCATCAAATGAAGAGTAAAATGGTTCTAAGTTGTGGGTGTTGCATGAGAGCTAATGAGCTAAGCCAGCAATCACATCGCAGGGTCTGGTGTGTTTGTGTGTGTGTGTGTGTGTCTCACCTTAAACTGGTTATTGCATCCACCTCATTTAAAACTACTTGACAGTCTTCTGAGCTAGCTGTGGCATTGTCCTTACTCTGAGGTTTGGAGATGTTAACTAATGTCCCCTAGTGAGAGGAAGAATTGGAATTTGAGCAATGATGCCCACACACCATACCAAAACTTACGTTTTTCACCAACTTCTCGGCTGTAAAGTGTTATACACAACGAAGTCTGTATTTCTATGGGAAAAATGTCATACAGCATGTTCCCCACGGAGGCTAATTTAGTTCTCTCATCCTTAGAGGTAAAGAATAGTGAAGTTGTAATAACGGCGAGAGAAATGGCTCCAGTTGAACTGATTCCAGCCAAAGCTCTGCGCCTTGCCTGGGAGAAAGCGTGTGAGCCTTCAGCAGCGGGTCCATCTGTAAGAGGAGGACGAGCCACACCGAGGCAGGAACGCAACGACTTAGGAGGGGCTGCCAAGGCAGCGGAACGCAACCTCGTGTTGATGTATGATAACCAGGGCATGTTACTGAAAGGCATAAAATAATACCGAAAGTTATTTTTCAGCCAATCTGCTGACACAGCACCATTTTGGGTCCCTAACTGAAAATGATATATGAATTATCTCAACCTAAAGTCAGAAGTATAAATTATAGAATATATCTTTCACTGTTTTATTTGGGCTGTAAAGCGACACCTTATTATTTCTCCCTCCTGGGCTTTCTTTAATGAATCGGGATTTGAAAGTGAAATATTTATTATATGGCAGGGGAGAGATTACATCGTGTTTCAGAGAGGAGGGAGAAAAGGGTATGGAAATCAGGCAGCATCTTGGAAATTGTCTCTTTCTTGTGAAGAGAAATGGCTGATGTGAGGCTTTTTTTCTTTCCTGTGCTAGGAGAGGCTTATGGGAGAGGAGCCCCTGCAGCATGGTAAACGCACAGGCATGGCTTGCTGAGTCAGGGATCTCCACCTCCCGCCTGCTGTGGCTCATAAACCGGTCTCATATGATTGGGCAGATTCGGTGGAAGAGAGACATCTGATTAGGATGCCTTCATGGATTGTGCGGGAAAACAGAGTCTTGTGAGGAGCCCCATTAAAGTGGGCCAAGAGGGGGCAGCAGGTAGGGAGGTGTGCTTTGTCTCCATGGGGTTTTGCAGGCTGATACTACACTTGGCTGGTTTTTCAAACCACAAGGCAGTTCCTGAGACTCAGCCCTGATGCAAGAGATGTATGTATTCTTCTGGTTCCCAAATCAGACCTGATGGATGGGTATGGGAGTTTAGTATGTTACGTAATTGCTTAGGACAGTCAACCAGATTGTTCCACTGTTGGGAGTGACATTTGTTATGAGGAATGCTAGAGGAACTCCACTGCACATGATTGGAGAAGGAATGGGATAAGAGGCTGGACTCATACATATCCTAGGACACTGTTACCAAACAGCCCCACTGCCTGCAGTGTGACCATGACCACAGCTCAGGAGATTATGCAAAGGCTCATAGTATTATACCTTATTCCTCTATTCATTTATCCATTTTTAATATATTAATTTATTCTATAAATGGTTACGTTTCTATGTCTATGCAGTACACACTGTGGAAACAATATATATATATATATATATATATATATATATATATATAGCCCTATACACAATGAACAGTCAGCTGGTAGGCAAGATAAACTATAAACAGAAATTTTAAAACCCTGTTCATTTAGAGAATAGGAAAGGGCACAGCATAAACACAGTAATAGAAGAGGACGTGTAGAACGCTTCAGGCTTTTCCTATGTTGTTTATATACAAGTATGTATTACATAAACTCATTCCCTATTAATGATGAGACAATGCTTAAAGGAGAAGGAAAGATAATTTTAGGGCATTTTCAAAAAGCAAAGAGTTGTAAGGCAGGAAGGTTGGAACAGATTGTTGGAAAGAGTATATCAAAGTTCCTAGAGGGTGGAGTGTATTTAGAACCTTCATTTTATGTGTACAAACCCTCCACTCACATACTCTTTTTCTATTATTCTTACCTCTTTTGCATTATTATTGTGATCTTTATATTGTGTCCATGACTCCAAAATGGAAATTTGCTTCTTGGTGTCTAGGATGGGCTGACTGAACCCCTAAAGTTGAAATGAATCTGACAGTAATAAGCAGTAAGTAAGTCATGAGGTGGAGCGGGGCCTTTATCAGTGGACTTGAAGGAGAGAGTCCTTTCTTTTCTGTCTCTTTCACCAACGTAGATACAGTGTTTGTCCCTTCTGGTGGGTGCCGCAATCAGGCACCATCTTGGTGACACAGAGAAGACCTCATTAAACTTCAGAATTGCGGGCATCTTCATCTTGTATTTCTAGAATCTAGAAGCGTGAGAAATAAATTCCTACTCTAAATTAGCCAGTCTGAAGCATTTTGCTATTGCAGGACAAACAGGCTCATGTAGCTCCATAGCTTGTACCAGCCACACTTCTTCAGGGCACGGACAGAGGTGGGCACTTTTCTTTCAGTCCAAGCGATGTGGGTGGAAGAACAGTGCCTACTACCCCATCCTCACACATTGCTTGACTAAAATTCTGCTCCTGGTTATTCTCCTGTTCTCGGTTGTGGTGGCATTCATCAGCGGGTCAGCCTATAAGTTGCTTATCGTGTCAGGCACGGGCACCTTTCTGCAGAACCCAAGAGCCCTAAACATTCCAGCCCCAGGGGCCTCAGGCTGCTTTGTAAGCAGGAGGTGTTTGAAATAGATTTGACTGGTGCTCTTCCGGGAAGGCTAGAGGGCTGGACTCCATTTGTCAGAGCAGTGTTTTTGTGCTGAATGCCATTAGCAGTGGAGAAGGACCACGCGGCTTGGGAGGCTGACATCCCTGCAGATGGCAGCAGCCCTTGTCCACTGCTGATGGGGTCAGCAGTGTGGAGACCTCCAGTAGAGACTCTGTAGCTCTCTTATATTAGCAATTCAGAAGGGACTGGCAGGAGCTTCGAGTTCTCCCCTGACAGCCAGCTCCTGGGAGCTATGAGTTAAGCAAAGGCACCTGCCAATTGTAAAATTCCCTACATTTTCTGAACAACCATAGTGGCAGCAGTGGCAGCCCCGATGAGGAGGCCAAGACATTTCTTCCTGACAGGCTGGCATAATGAAATGATTGCAATGCAGCTCAACTCCTTGGCATGGTGGTGCATATGCATCATTCACAGAAACACAGGGCTGGACGGGGACACATCCTCCCATGTTGCCTGCTCATTCTATGCATGCTCACCCTGTTTAGTGCATAAAAGGGAGAGTGGCCAGGTTAGAACTTGCACTCAGGTTTCCTGACCTCATCTTTACATACTGATGTGGGCAGAGGAGGGGACAAAAGGGAAATTAATTGAAACAGACAAAGAAAAAAGTAGCATATTGTCTAGTGGTCAGTTGATTAGTTGTTTCCAAATTAGTATGTGTCCTGACTTTTTCTAAATTAAAAAAGTAGATTATTACTTGTTGACTGTATTTATTACTACAGTTTACTTACAGTAAAATGTGTTTTTCTCTTTTGCCTCAGTGTTTATGAATTCATGCTGCAGTAGCTGCTATGAAGGAAAATAATGTGTGAATGCTGGAGCTCCCCGAGAGGGTAGCAGAGGGAGCCACAGCAGCAGGGCTGAGTGTGGTGGACCTGTGCGGAAGCAAAGGAAAGAATGAGGTGACCGTCACCAGAGATCGCTGTCAGTGCTAGGATGAGGTCATTCCAGGCCTCTACAGCTATCTAGCCAAAGTTTGTTTAGTGGATGTGTTCAAACGCCGTGGGCTCCCAGGAGTGAGAGGTCTTAGGAAGTACAAAGAAGGCCTCAATATTTGCAAAAAGATACCTATGGTGAATAGAAAAAATGGTAAATGTGTGTGTGTGTGTGTGTGTGTGTGTGTGTGCAAGTGTGTGCACAGTGCAGGCAGGGTGGTCTTTTCTCTCATCCCCACCAACCTTCTTTCAATTTCAATCCCTTCCAGAAAGAATTCAAGGATTCCTCAGTGTCTCTCTTGCTGGGCTTAGAGGTTAGCCCTCTGCTAAAGAATTTTTTAAAAAATTAATACTCCAGAACGTCTATAATCAAAGGGACACGTCGTCTCTGCTTTCCTTGATGATCTTGCGAGATTCAGTCCACTCTCTTCCCTGTAAAGAGGGCTTTCATATCTCAGGTCATCCTTGAAACTTTTCATTAGGGATGCATCAAACCCCACTTTTAAGTTTGGAATTTGGACCAGGTTATGCAGAACCAGGTGTGAATAATACTGTATACCAGTGCTGGTATTGGTCACAAGCCATGTGTGTCCTGATAACAGTGAGCCTGGCTGTCTTCTGGTCTTGTCAACTCGCCTCTCTCTGTCTTGGGTAATGGCAGCTTGCTTAACCATATCCTTCCTCTGGCTGGGCCATTCATAGCCACTGTTTTGGTCTAAACAAATGACCTCAACCGTGCTAGTGCTGGCTCTTGGTACAGTAGACTGACCCTCCCTTCCCCCTGTTATCGTCAACCTGTTGATGTGGACAGCACACTAGGGGATGTTAAGAGGCTTGGGTTTGGGATTGGGTCCTATTATCTACACGCTGTGGGAGGCTGAACGTGCCATTTGATTTCTTTGACTTTCACTTTCTCGAACTTTGGAAAGAAGATAAAAATGTTTACCTTGAAAACTGTTGTAGCGGTTAAGCGAACTGATTCAAGAGAGCATCCAGAGCAGAGTATTTTAAACACGATAGCGGCCGGGTCAGAGGGCAGCGGGTGATTGGTCTCTTTCTCTTTGTGTCTGGTGACCTTTCTTGATATAATTGTCATCCCTTGTGATTTCTCCTGGCCTTTTATTTTCTCTTTCACTGCAAAGCTACTGGGAGATGGAAGAGGAGAAGGAGTGCAGGATACTTAAAGGGAATAAAGAGAAAGATGATTCTCCACCCAGCTAAGAGATGATTCTTTTGCGACAGTGGGTCCAGCTAAGGTGCAAAAGCCCTCACCACTCTTAAACTTAGTCTTATACAAGGAGTCTTATTGAGAAAATGATTCTCTCTCTCTTCCCCCCGAGTGTCTGAGACTCCAGCACCTCCCTCTAAACCTAGATGACCTAAATACTTTTCCAATGTCCACTTTACATGGCTCAAGTAATGCAAAGTAATCTTTAACTTTGAGGAAACAGTTACTAAATCTAGTACTATTTACCTAGAAAAAAATTCAGTGTATTGATTGATAAAGCCAAGCATGTTCTACTTGAAATTCTGTGAATAACTTAATATATTTACTTCAAATATTAACATTTAAATGTTTGAAGATTTATAAATTTTAAGTATCAAATATATATGAAATTAAAATAATATTACATCACATAGGTATAATATAAATGTAATATGAGTACCTCATTTAAAAAGAGAAAACCACTCCCCTTTGGAAGAGGAGGTCTCAGAGTAAGGCATGCTGTGCTAGGGCTGAGGTCCATGCTGAGCTGGGCGTGCAGTCCTGAGTAAGAGCCAGACCGTGGCTTAGGGATTTACTGTGTCCTACTCTTAGGAAATGGTACTTGAATACAGAGGTGTGTCTTGCTTCTGGAGAGTCCTATCTCTTGTCAGCTCCTCTCCCGGGTTGCAGGTTGGCTCTAGTGACTTCTTTCTAATGAGAAGATGGGAAAAATGATGAGATATCACTTCTTTGGTTAGACTGTGCCTCTGAGGGAAGCCGGTAGGCAGGCTTTGAACTGTTCTATGGAGAAGCCAGTGTAGCAGGAAACTAGGGGAACCTCCAGACAGTAGCCAGCGAGTCACTGTGGTCCTCCATCCAGCATCCACATTGAACAACCCTTGTAATAACCTCGCGAGTGAACTCAGAAGGACATCTTCTCAGCTGAGCCCAGTGGCGAGGCAGTAACCCAGCCACCACACACTGCAGCCTTCCCAGAGGCTCGGAGGAAGAGGCAACCACTCAGGCTTTGTCTATCTCCTGACCCATTAAAAATGTGAGGTAATACATCTTGTTTGGGGTAATAAACAATGGGCTATACAGCAATAAATAACTAATACAGAGAGGATGGAGAAAGTGTTTTCTGACTTTCATGTATTTCTGGTCTCTGAGTTGAGGAAGGTGGGGAATCCTGTGGAGGCACAGCTGGAACTGGAGCTGGAGTTCCCAGAGTTCCAGGCATGCAGGTGACAGAGAGCTGACGTTTTGGTTCCTGTGCACCCTCCTGACTGGATTCAGGCACCTTCTTCTCAACTCCTTTCCTGAGCAATGCGCTTCCTGCTCCTGAAGCCCCCTTTGCCCCATCTTGGTTTGCCTAGCTGCTAAAGCCCCACTTCCCAACGAAGGAAGAAGCAATTTTGTCCATTTTGGCAGGGTCTTCCAGGCACCAGGGGCTTTAGCCATCAGGGACTCTGGAACTAGGACACTCTGGCCCTGGTTACATCCTCAACACTTCCAAATACAATGCGTGTGCTGGGACTCCAGAGCCAGAGGGACCCCCTGCATGGCGCCCTCTCAGTCTGATTGGTTTGTACCCACCTGAAGCCTGAGGAGCAAGGTTGCCAGGCACAGGGTGGGAGCCCAAAAGAGCCTCCTGCAGTTCCTCCCCTGCGGGTGGGGACACAGAGCTCCAGAGTCTTCCCTTTGGGGTCCTTGAGCTGGCCACATGCATTTAAGGGCACCTTCTTTTGGTCACCACTGTTCCCCTAGTTGGTCAATATGGATTCCTGCTCACCCCTCACAGGCTCCCCAACAAATCTCCCAAACACAAGGCTCTCATAGTCTCAGCGTGTCTGTCTCCCTGCAGTGCCAGCCCATGCTGGCCTACGCTTGCTCCCTGCACACACACACACACACACACACACACACACACACACACACACACGCACCCTCTTCTCCACCCCTGCTTCTTTTTGATATCAAGATGCTAAGCTGTCTTCGAAAATGAAATCTATTATCCTCTCAAATAATCATCCCAACACCACTCCTCCCCCCACGATGATTAGCATCTGTGTGCATTATTTAAAGTGCTGCATGGTTCCTATTTTGAAAAGCTATTTCCCCCTCCCTTTCCTGCCCAATCTCCAATGTAGGCATGATGCAGGAAGCAGCGTGGCATGGCTGTGAGAGGTCAGCTCTCATTAATGCAGATCCCATTTATTTAAAAATAGCAATATTATGCCACTTTCAAATAGCCTGAGTGAGCTAAACCATTAAAGGATTGTGTGTCGCTGACTTCGGACCTATTGTGAAGGCTTAATATTTCATAGCATGGTGACATATGGTACATAACCTATGGAGCAGCGCTATTAGTTTGGCTATTCTGAAGCGAGGAGCAGGGAAATAATTGAAGAGAACGTTTGATAGCCCAACACTAAGCCAAGAAGAGAGCTGGAGCTTGGAAAATGTGAAGGCCTCCTGAAGTTCAGGGTGGGCCTGAGGCAGAGACGGCCTGGCTATGTCAGTGATGAATAGGCAGAGAGTCAGAGGCTAGTTGGGAAGACAATGGATGGATGGACATTTGTCTGCCAGTTTCCATTAACAGTACTGTCATCTTCCAAAATCAGTGTTCCCAATATGATTAGTGGACTGGGTTTCCATGTGCTTCCTCTGAGAGCCTAGAAAATGGCTAATTTATGGGATCTTGGAATTCAGTCATATTTGGGGGCTTTGGGGATGAATTTGGTGTGATAGGGAAATTGCCAGTGACCCACTGACATCTACCTTGCAGTTAATACCTTGATCTCACCTCTTATTGCATGACATGGATTTTGGCCTCCAAAATTTCAATTCTTTAACCTTTAAATAAGAACAGTAAAAAGCTCCATCTTAAGCTATGATAGGGCTTTAATGGTAAGTATAACTCAGTAAAGTTTGGATTCTTTCTCCTTGCATTCTGACTTCCAATCATTTCTCTTTCCTTCTCCCAGTGCAGAGTGCTGTCTTCCCCATCACAGAACTCTCTTTAAGCCCTTGAGCTTGGCCTGGGCCTTGGTCTCTCCCAGGTGCTTCTGCACTATGGAAATGATCTCCAGGGTCCCTTCCAGGCCTGCCCTCCTCAGGCTCCCCTCTCAGCCTTCAGTCCTGGTCTTGATGAGATTGCCTGAATTATGGGAGATCTTCCCCAAGAGACCAGGCAAGGAACTCAGGAAAGATTTGGTTACCAGATTTAGTAATTAGAGATGCAGATCTTGGGGTCCTGGAAGTACCAGCTGGGGTGCTCCCTATAATCCATCCAAATCCTCCATGGCTTCTCCCCAAAGCGCTGGGACCCATGAGGTGTGGTTTGTACCTGGGCATCTTCCTCTATGTGGGACAGTTAGATTTTCTTTCCCTAATGAGGGGACCCCTTGAGAAAGTCTGATCTTCCTTCCTACATCTCACCTCCCTACCACTCAGGTATGAAAGAGGCCAGCTGATTTATTCACCCTGCTACCCATGGTATCACTGTGGTCTCTACTTATGAACGGGAGAATACGCAGGGCAGAGACCCCACCCACCTGGGTCTCTCTTCTGTCACATCCTGCACCAAGCTTGCTTTATGTTTTCGTGTTCTTCTTCCTCCACCGCCCTGGTCTTCTGCTTGAGGGTCCCACTTTCCTCTTTCTTCACTGAGCTGTTGTTTGTTAAAACAACAAAAAATATTTTCTCAAATCAAAATGAAACACAAAATGCACCTTGTGTTTTTTTGGTCTCTTGGAAAAAAAATCCTTTGATTCTCTCTTCCCTTAACCAGTGGGGGCTTTGAGCTATTTTCCATTAGCTCGGGGCATGTGGAGTTCAACTGCAGCTCCATAGACGCGTGGCGTGGGTGGTGACGGTGGGAGGGTGAGGGCGTTGTGTGTTCCTCCTCCTCTGCTCTGCAGGCAGCAAGCAAAAGCTGCCTGTTGATCTGAGGATGTAGATCAAGGTGCTCCTGGGGGATGGTGGGGAATGCTGGATGCTCTGCCTGGGGCAGGAGGAGAGAGGCATGGGCTGGGGTGTGCTGCCGTATGCCTCTCACCATCTCCCAAAGCCTGGAGAACGGGAGAGTTCTCCCATCAGGAAGATGGAGGTCTCCTGTAAGTGAAAAATCACAGTCCATCGAATTACAATAACCTTGAGAGGTCATCCACTGGAAGCACCCACAGAGGAGGGCCGGGCGAGTTGCAGTAAAGATTCTACCTCTTCTGGTGGTAGATTTATTTAGTGCCTTCTTTTTTAAGTGGCTATCATGACTCAGTAGAGTCTTTATGTGCTTTTTTCCCCTCTCTCTTCCTTCCTTTTTTCTTTCTTTGAATTCTCCCTCAGAAATCTAGAATAGCAGGTTTAAAGTAGAGGACGCGGAGCAAGAGAACATCTTTGAAGGTGTTGTATGAAAATCATGCCTGCTCTTTTTTCCTCCTGCCTTATGCCCTGCTTTAAAGAATACAGAGACCTGAAAATGAGATGTGGCTCATTCATGACTGGCTGCGTATCACTTGGAGACACATTTTCCCATCAAAAATGATTGATGACTAGGTTCCTGTTCTTGCCCACAGATGCCCATTTAACCTTATGGTGGCCTTGAAACATGAATCTCCTCAGATTTCCCTAGAATTCTGTGAACAGAGTCCCTGGCAGTCTGGACCTAGACCCCCACGCTGAGTTGTCAAGCCACTGTAAAGCCTTAGTGTCTGGTGTAGCCTAATAGTATCTTCTGAAGTGGGGCTGGAGTTGTTAGGATTGGAATCTAAACAGTCTCCCAAAATGATCATGTGTTAGAGGCTTAGTCTCTGTTGCAGAACGTTCAGAGGTAGGGTTTTGAAGGTGATTCCATCAGTAGGGCTCTAACTTCATCAAAGGAGTAAGTTATTAATTGGGAGGCAATAAAAAGTTACGAAGCAGGGCTAGACTGAAAGGGATGGGTTCTGGAGCCTTGACATGGGGACTGTATCTTGCTTATGGTTCCCACCCCTCTGGTGCTCTCTCCCCATCCACCCCTGCCTCTTTCCGGCAGTCACGAAGCTGGCTAGCTACGTTCCATTAAACGTTGCTGCCAAAACATTCTGCCTCATGTTGGACCCAGAGTGATAAAGTAGTTTACCATGATCTGAAACCTGTGAGGATATCAGCCAACATCCACTTTTACTCTTTTTAAGTTTATTGTCTTAGGTATTTTATCACAGCAACATAAAGCTTTCTAACACAGGAGTGGTGAGTCAATTGTCAGGGATCACTAGCATCAGCCTTGAAATTAAGACAGGTTTCAGCTGTGATCTTGATTCTAGCGGCTCCAGGGATGGATGAGCCAGCTGAGGAGAAGCTTAGCATTAGTTACTCCATGAATTCTGGGGCGGCAGCATGGTCCAGGAAAGTATGCAAAGCTGGATATTGCAAAACAATCCTAAGCCTTGTATCATGATTTGTACTTTTATGTTAGGGAGTCATTTAGCACCTTTGGGCTCATTTTCCTTTAAAGAAGACAAACATAAACACAGACACATTAAACACACATGCAATCCTATCTAAAAGTAAGCATAATTCTATAAATATATTCCAGCAAGAGTTGCAAGTGTTGGTGTAACGATTAATGTGATTAGACTTGGGTGATGGTGGTACAGAAAGAGCATAAAGAGAGGAAGGGGAAATGATATTTATTTAAAATTATTATGGGTGATAAAACTTCTTAAATGATTTGCAAAAGTTTAACAAGTTGGAAAAATAATTAAAAGTGTCAATTATTTAATTAAAAAATTAAATGTATCTCTCTGAATGAAGAAATTGTCTTTCTTTAGCGAATACTTTCATTAAGCCACCATGTTTGGAGGATGAGGTATTGAGGGCATCATTTGACAAAATAAAGAGAAAGCCAGATGTTCTATTAAGAACGGAAATGAGATTTTGGTACAAAATGGAAGACTGAGGCACATAAATTAACCACCCGTTTTTCTCAAGCCCTCATTTTTTTGGTGGTAAAGGAATACAAAGTGAGTAATAGTAAAGAGACTAGGAGTGAGGTCAGAATTTTCAGTGCATAAAGAGATTTTAACAAACTCCAGGCAAAAGAGAGCTAGAGGAAAGTGGGTTGATGTCATAGTTTACGTCTGTGGCCCCAGGCCTTATGAGTTTGCATTGTGCATTTGTGATTGCTTCATTGTCTAGTGCTGGGATTGATGGTGTCAGTGCTCCACCCACATAGAGGTGGAGCCAGGAGATAATGTAATAGCAGGAAGAAGGTGTGTCTTGCTCTCTTTTGCCTGTTCCTGCTTGCTGTTTGCAGCCGCCATGAACTGAGGCTCTGCCGGGCCACCCTGCCTTGGAGCCAACTGAGTGTGGACTGAAACCTCCAAAAAACTGTAAGAAATAAACCTTTCCTTTCCCAACTTTAGGCTTCAGGTATTTTGTCTCAGCGATGAGTAAGACAGCTGATAGATGAAATGGAGCAAGGAAGACTAATCTAGAGTGCATCCCAGTGGTGGTTGCAGAGGAGTTGGAAACCAGTCTTCCCGGCAAACTCAGAGCTGCTCTGGGCTCAGTGTCAAGAGGTATAGAAAGGAGAAGGAGGAGGTGGCACTGCAGAGGAAATATTTTCACACACTCTCTCCTCAGTACAGGCTACTGTTGTCCTCCAAAAGGTGGACAACCTAGGACTTCTGCTGTAGTCTCTGGAATCCCACAAGCTTCTCAGTGGGTTCCAACCTTCCAGATGACTTTTAATACATTTGAAACTCAAGCCTTTGCAGCTGAAAATATCTGTGATATTCTCCTCACTCAGAGAAGTCCATCAGGGAAACAGTCAACTACCAAACAGCTACTCAGGGTATTCATTTTAAAGATTGCCAAATACGTCAAGAAACCATCTGAGGGAAATATGAAGACCATGGTAAAGAAACAGAACAACATCCCACTGGAAGGCAAGCATGAACTCAAAGAGCGAGAGACTTTCCTAAATTCTAGTCACTCTGGAGAACTTCGCCATGACATAGATGGTCCCCGATTACAGTGGCTCCACTTGCAATTTTTTGACTTTATGGTAATGCAGAATTATTCTCAAACAAGCATCCTGCTTTTCACTTTCAAGCAGCATTCAATAAGGTATATGTTGCATTTAAAATTTTACTATAAAGTAGACTTCGTGTTACATGATTTTGCTCAACCATGGGGTAATGTTAAGTATGCCAAACACATTTAAGGTAGGTTAGGTTAAGCTCTGATGTTAGTAAAGTGGGTGTATTAAAGGCATTTTTACTTATAATATTTTCAAACTAATGGTGGGTTTATTGGGATGTAACCTTATTGCAAATCAAGAACATCTGATATACTGTGTCCATTATCACTATTATAATCTCCACTGTTTTCACCATCACTAATATTTCTAGCACTATTTTAAGACAGGCACTATTTTAAGCGCTTTACATACATGAACTCATTTAAACCTCAAAAGACTATCCTTCTAATCCAGGAAAGGAAACTGTCACAGAGATGTTACAGAACTCATGCATTCTACACTGCCCATATGGGGCAGAGATCAGATTTGAACTCAACCAGTCTGATATCCCCGTTTGTGTTTTAACCACTGCATTAAACGTTTTCTTATTAAAAATAAAACAAAATAATAAATTTTTTAAAATTAAAAAGTAAAAATCTATAAAATAGAAATATCAGAGGACAAACTTTCTTGTGAAAATTAAAAATGTATGACTGCCAAAATAAAAAAAAATTAGCAGAGAGCTAGAAGAGGAGGTCAAAGATGCCTCTGAGTATAGAGGAAAGATAGAGAGATACACCGAGATACAGGGAGGGAGGGAGGACAGGGAGAGATAGAGAGAGAGAAAAGAGAAAAAGAAATCATCTCGGAGACAAAGAAAATCATGCATTAGATCAAAAAGGCCCAAGTAAGTATCTGACACAAAGACTGAAAATGATCCGTTACTAGAACAGACTGATGACATCTGAGAACAAAAAAAGTAGACAGGAAAAGCATGTCACCCTACTGATTGGCCTCCGCTTAAAAGGGGGCCACTCGCAGTCTGGAGTGAGCCCAAAGGCTGCCATACAGCCCACCCTTCCCTGTCCAGCTCCTGTCCAGTTCCTACCCCGCTTCCTTTCTCAGCTCTCCACAAACTCTTCCTTTTCTTTCGGCTGATAAAATGAGGATGACAGAAGAGAATGTCCCCTCACACCTGTCACCACATCTACCCGTCTGCCGAGTCTGTACTTGAGCACCTGCTTTGGGTCTTGTGACTGCGTCCTCCAGGTGTGTACTCACACCCCACACAGTGCAGCCGCTCTCTCCTCCCTGGCCACCCTCACTGCGCTCTCTAGTGTGAGCTCCCCGCTCTCTGGATGGTCACTCCTGTCTGCATGAAAACATCTTAACAAGGTTGCTCTGTTTCACCCTCTCAGTCCTCCAGCTAGCATGCCTCTATTTCTTCTTTCCTTTGTAGGACAAAAATGGGTTCCATGTGACAAATTCTTGTAAATCCTAATGAATAAGGATATGTCAATACCCTCAGCTATGATAGAGAGAGAGAGAGACAGAGACAGAGACAGAGACACAGACAGATCAGTAAATTCTACCCGTTTTTAAGGTTTCAACTTCAGAATACTCACAAGATGTCTCATACGTCACTGGCTGATGTCACTGGTTATTGCTGTCTCCTCCACCCAACAGTAAGATAAAAAATGTAGTAGAGAAAACGTAGCATTTAGTGCAGGTTACTGCCTATGCCATTTCGTGTTGGCCTCCAACTTTTCAAATGCTGTAGCGTATGAGAGGTTATAAACTGGAGCAGAGGGAAACCGCAGACGAGCTTGGCTTGAAGATACCTGAATATTTTTAAGTTGCTTAGTTCTCCAGAGTCCTCAGCACTCCCCTGTCATGACTCTAGGTCCCGCTGACTCACACAGACTGCAGTCTGCTCCCTGCAGGCACTTGTGACCTTGCCACCCAATGCAAGGAGGAATAAAATCTGGGAGAGGAAAGCAGAATGTTAAAGTGGTGTGAATATAAATCTTGTATTTTATAGTAGGCAAATCAATATATAATATCTGTGGTTAATAAATCAAGATACATATAAAGTTTAGTATAGTGTATATATATTATTTAGTGAGATGTATATATATATATATATATATATATATATATATATATATATAGTTTAGTGCAGGGAGAAAACTACCAGAAGCATTCAATACAGAAATGGCTTAAAGTGGTTTTCTCTGGGAAGTGGAATTAGAGACAGAGAGGGGTAAAGCAGGAAACTGTTGATTTAATTAGGAGAATGTCTGCACTATTGATTTTTTAGAAAATAATATGCAGGCATTGCTTTGATTAAAGTATTTTAAAATTCTTTAAAAGGAGAAGTGAATAGCAATCTGCATACGGAAGAGAGTAGAAATGATTTGAGACGAAAGGAGGGAGGGGTAGGGGTGACAGAATGGGGAGCTGGAGCCCCTAGGGGTGGAGAAAGGTGCGGAGTTTCCCCTGACTGCCTTGTGGCCTTTTAAGGCCACGTATTCCTAATGTTCCTTTTTAGGCTGTGTGTTGGGATATAAATACTTTCCACTGACCCACACCCTGCTATCTGTGTGACACACGCCCAATTGTCTTAAGTGTTAAACTACAAGGAAAACTAGAAAAAAAGGACTGAGTTCAAATTCCAGGACCCTAGTAAGAGACAAGAGGAAAACCAGATAAAGTAGCAGCACGAATGCAGACTTAAGAGGTCATGGCAACTGAGGTCCCTGACATTCATAGGAATCTTGGAGAGACTGTAGGTGTCCTGTGGACTGTCAGGCAGAAAGCCTGAGTCCATTCTCTTTAAAGTCAGAGGACAGAGTGTCCTTTACTGACAGCTGGAATACTTCAGTTATCTTATTGAATCCTCAAAGCAGCCTTACGAGGTATTTCTTCATTAATTCAACAAACGTTACTAAATATTTGCATACAGTACTCTTCCATTAAGTCTTTATCACTATTCTCAAGGTATTTACAATCTAATGAGGGAGACAGTACAGATGAAAGGTGATAAAAATGTGTACTGGGTCCTTCAAGGAGCACGGAGGGCATCTAATCTACCCTGCGGGTGGGGGAGTGGGGAGAATCCAAGTCGAAGGACTTAGGCTGGATTTGGAGAAGTCAAAAGCAGTTTGCTGAGCAGACAAAAGGAGGGGAGTAAGGTGGGCTGGGCAGCGGCAGTGGGGTGATGGGAAGCACTGAAGCGAGGCTACAGGACCCAGTGGGCACCTCTAAAAACTGTGTGTCAGGAACCAGGAGATAGACCAGACTAGTGTGACAGGTGGGGTTGCCTTTAAGGAGTGTGAGTCCCTGTTTACATAAATGGGATCACTGCAGAGAGTATCAGACACCAGTCTCCTGCCATCCCACAGAGGAAATACTGTCCTGCCCAGTGGGAAAGATCACCCTTATAGAGCCAGTGCTGGGTCCTGGCACCCAGGACAACCCCACAGGTGAGAGTTCTGAGCTTCTCCTGTGGGTCTGACAAGTGTAGGATAGAATGTCAGCGACTACCTCAAAGGGCAAAACGGGAAATAAGACTCACTAATCAGATCTCAGTTTGGACTTGGGGTGCCTCACAACTGACTATAAGGGGACATAAAAAGATTTGAAGACAGTGCACCCCAATCAGGGGACCCCTCAGAGGCACAAAGCTTTGCGAGAGCTCCTCTTGCCCAGGCCCCAGGGTAATGCTGATGTTTGTCTTGTGTGCGGTTGAGAGCAATTTCAGGATGCTGAGTGTTGCAGCCTAATAGGCACTGGTCTGTGTTTCCGAGAGATGCATCTGGGAGCGGCTGGGAGGAGGATGGTCTGGGAGCAGGAAAGTTGCGATGATGCTATCAACGAACGAAGGAAGAGCAACCCGAGACACTGGCAGAGAAGAGCAGGTAGATTTAAGAGGTGTCCTGTGGAAGGATCTATAAAATACAGTGTTGAACGGAGTAGAAGGGAGATGCTTAAAATAACACCCCCCCCCATTTCTGGTTTGAATGATTGGATGAATAAACCTTCCATTCACCCACGTCTGGAATACAGGAGCAGATTTCTGAGGGGACTGGGGGGTTAGGGATGTGGAGCTGTTTCAAACATGTTGAGTTGAGGTACCAGTGAATTATGGATTGGTGATAAACAACAGGTTGTTGTATATATCTAAGCATCACAGGCAAAGTGTACTTGAGCAAAGTACCATTTGTTTTGTGCTGTTACCTGTGTCCTTATCAAAGTTACTGCCCTTTCCAATTTTTTAAGATTAAGATCAGAGCATAATCTTGATGGCTGAACAGCACAGAACCTGGTACATATCAGGTATTTACTAAGTGCTTGTCTCAGTTATGCTAAGACAAAATACCCAACACCTCAAGTTAAAGGGGAGAGGTTTTTTTAGCTCATGGTTTGTAGAGGTTTCAGTCCACAGTCTGTTGGCTCAAAAGCAAGGTGGCAGAGGAGAAATAGTTCATGGTGGGCAGAAGGTAGCCAAGCAAAGAAGCAAGCGGTCAGGACAAGCCTCTTGCTGTCCCTCATATTGTTTTTAGGCTCTTAGAATTAGGGTAGTGCCAAACCAATCCATGGACTGATTTAGTAATCATCCACCCTTAATCCCAGCAACCTCAATCCTAGCATTGAACTATGAATCAACCACACACTCTAGATTTAGCCATCTTTGAAAAAGCCCCCCTGTGACTGCATGAGGCTTTGAGAAGGCTCTAGACACAAACAGTGGCAATGAAGCAGAGAAAAAAAAAGGAAGAGAAAATGTCTAGAAGTCTTCAGAGAAGTTAGGGTAAGAAATATGGGTTTGGAAATTTCAGAAGAGGCAGTTGAAACTGAGGCTGTAATGATAGTCCTGAACCAGAGATTATAATTGTTGCTCTTCACCTTAGAGCTTTGCTCCTTAGCGATCCAAAATCACGTTACTGGGGAGAAATGAATACAATGTCATTCTTACATCCCTCTCTATCATGCTGCTTTAACATATCTTTGGTGAAGAAGTGAGGAAAGACACAGAGCATTCCTGCTCACCATGGGGCAGCGGAAACTAGTGAACAAGAAAAAGTCTGCTGTTAGTTAACTTTTCTGTTGCTGGGGAAAAATACCTGACACACTCAACTTGAAGGAGGAAAGGTTTATTTTAGCTCTCAGTGTCAGAGGCTTCAGTTCATGGCCCTGAGGCAGAAACAGCACAGGTATGGTGGAGGAAAGCTGCTCAACATGTAGTGACCAGGAGGCATAGACAGCAACATCATCAGGATAAGAGGAAAAGACTGAAAACAGACAGTACTCTTAATGTCCCCAGTGACCAGGCTTGTCCAGCAAGGCTCCATCTTCTCATGGTACATCCAGTTATGAAATCGTCAACAGATTTATCCCATGATAATTTTCTTTCCTGCATAATTTAATCATCTTCCCCAAACCCTACCTCTTAACACATGAGCCTTTGGGGGGACATTTAGATCTAAACCATAACATTCATTTTTTCCAAGGCTTACAAACCATATCTGAATGCCAGCATGCTGAGCCCCAAACAGCACTGCAGCTGCTGAGCAGGAAAGGGGCTGGGATTTGTGGGGCCTGTAGTTCATAGTTTGTAGTTTACAGTGACATTTTAGCTTCAGCTTCTGCTGAAAACAGAGCCTGAGGGAAATATATATGTGCAGGGAAGTAATTGCAAAATGCAGAATGAGAGACCCAGTAACCTGAAGGAACGTGTGTGTGAAGGTGACAACTGGAAATGACTGAGCTGTACTCTTCCCAGGACCTTCTGAGAAGCACACTGAATGTCAGATTTGTCCATGAGAATGTCAGCTGGGAAAAGAATTTACCCATCTCTTCCACATGGTTAATGGCTTTCCCCCAGGAACACTGAATTCTCTATACTTTGGGCTGCTCATGTGTGCGAGTGGGGAGTGGACTTCTTTTCCGTCTGCAGCAATGGAGCCCCCGGGCAGACTGTAAAAGGCCCTTGTGTTCTTGGCTCTCTGTGCCCTTTGCAGTTGTGGTTGTCATCAGTCTGTGAGTGTACAGCGGTCGGAGACCGGGTATACAGACCACTTTCAGCACTTCTCGCATCCTCTTGAGTCCTGCAGGAAGTCCATCCTGTCACCAGATTTTCAAGATAGTGGGCATTGATACTTTCTAGAAAAGCCAAGATGTCTCTAACAGATCTGTCAGTAGTCTCCGTGGCTGTGACCAATCCCAAGGTTGTGGCTGGTTCTCATAATCTTCCTCTGCCATGTTATATTACAGAGTCCTCTGAGGCTCAGTGACAGCTTTGTTTGCTTTCTTGGGGTGACCCTGGTGTCTATCCCCAAGAGGCATAAGGCCCTTACCTTTCAAGCTATAGTTTCTGCCCCTTCGTGTTCATCATGATCCAAGAAAGCACTGAAGAATGGCCCATCAACTCCCCTCACCCCATTGCATGTGCAATCTTGGCTACTTCTAGTCTGTAGCAACGGCCCTAGATCCTTACAATAATCATGATTCATTTTCTACCTATTGACCTCCTGTCATGAGCAGTCTATAGTAAGGAGGTATACTCAGGGATGCAGGGTTCAGAAGGAGCCTTATTGTTCTCTGGTGGAAGTGTTCTCTTCCATCCTCTCCCATTGGCTGGGACCCAGGAACACCGTTGCGTCAGCCTGGACTCCTAGGAATGCAAGCAGAAATTTTGCATGTGAGAGAGACCATGGTGCCTTGCTCCTCAGTCCCTGATCCTCTGTATTCCAGCTGTGAAGTTATACACCACCTATTAGCAGTTGGTTTGATGTGTGTGCCTTACCTTATCAAACAGCTCCCCAGCCCATTGGGTGCTCCCCTGAAGCTGGCACTTTAAATAGGGCTCCATGGCCTCTCCATTGTTCTATTTGGGTGGCTGGTGACGTGTTGTATGGTGGTCATGAACCCAATAGAGTCCATTACGTTGCTTTCTAATCTTGTCTGGTCCAAACGGATGGAGCAGGAGTCAATGGGCTCTAGAGTTGCGGAATGTCATTGTAAAAGAAATTGAAGCCAATTCAGAACTCAGATTTTCAA